TCTCGTTTTACTCCTCATTCAGCTAAGTCTCATTCGTTTACTGTATCTGTCCCTGAAAAACTTTTATTCATCTAGTTTTTTTCCCCGCACTTCAATCCTTTGGAACTATCTCCCATCTTCATGTTTTCATGACTCATACAACCTTCAACTTTTCAAGTCTTCTGTCAACCGTTTCCTTGCTCTATAACTCTGTTCTTTTTTTTTCCTAGTAACTCCCAACTTAATAGTGGTTGCTTGCAGCCTTGTTGGGAGTGAATGCAAATAAAAAAAAAAAAATCCTACTTAAAGATATTTTATCACTGCACTGCCAATTTTGAAAGTTATACTTCGTAAGAATGTTTTTCTTCAAGTGGCCACACAAAGATAAACCATTTTGTGAAAAACCCTAAATAAAGTTAAATTTGCAGTTTGTTTTTGCAATAACAGTTTTTTAACAAAAAATGCCTAAAAGTGTTTGCAGTCAGCAAAAAATTGCCAACCTTGTTTCAATGTTTTATGGTATGACCTTTGTATTAATTTTTTTTTTGCCGACCTTTAAAAGATTGAGGTTGGCAAATTATTGTTGACCTCAATTTTCCTAATTCCAAGGGTTAAATACTCGAGAACACCACTCTCAATTGATCGACAGAGATAGTGAGAAACCCAATTGTGATTGAGTCTGAAAGCAAGTTTTAACATACTGACTTAAACTCAGACAGTTCCAAAAAAATGTATATATATATATATAAAATTGTTTCCGTAATGAAAAAGTTAAAAAAGTTCTTTTTTCTAAATAGTAGCTGTGTCTAATTAGTTGATGTATGCGATGAAGCTCACGCAGGTTCAGTATGAGATCATTAATGACATTTCATTAGAGTTCAGATTTGATAAAGTAGACTTACAATAGTTTAAAAATGCATGATTTTTTAAGATTTTAAGCTTAAAATCTTAAAAAATCATGCTTTTTTAAACTATTGTAAGTCTACATTAAAAAGGGGTTGGGATGGTTAATACTTTAAAAAAAGTATGTATATATATAATGTATATATACATATATATATTCATTCTTTATATATATATATATATATATATATATATATATATATATATATATATATATATATATATATATATATATATATATATATATATATATATATATATATATATATATATATATATATATATAATATATATATATATATATATATATATATATATATATATATATATATATATATATATTAGGGTGGTTCTTTTTTCAACTTTTTTTTTTAAAAACTAGGCACAACCTCTAAATGTGTGCAAAATAATGAAATAACACTAGGTTTAAAATTTTTTTAAATAAAAAACATTTTAAGGGGTCCCCCAAGACCCTTGAATATTTAACGGGTCCCTATAACTAAAAAAATAAAAGTTTTTCAAAAATAGGTCAACCTGGTACTCAAATGAAGCGAAATAAAAAAATTTCAAAAATAATAATTATTTTGAACAAAAATAATTTTTTCAACTTATTTATCAGAATTTTCATAAAAAAACTTTAAAAAATGCACTTTTTTCATTTTTTGTTAAAAAACGCTATTTTTTTTGCATTAAAACCTAAAATAAGTATTTTATTTCAAAATAATTATTATTTCTGAAATATATATAGTTTCTCTTCATTTTATATATATATTTATATATATATATATATATATATATATATATATATATATATATATATATATATATATATATATATATATATATATATATATATATATATATTAGGGCTGTACCGAATTTCGACTTCGGCTCCTGTTCCGGCCGAAATCCGGCTATTTTAACAAATCCGGCCCAAATTCGGCTCCGGCAAAATTTTAGCAAATCCGGCATAATTTTGACCGGATTTCTGAATTTTGGTTAGATATTTATTACATCTTTCTTGCCCGTGATAACTTTCTTGCCCGTGATAATCTCTTTATAATAATACTGGACTTAATAGTAGTAGTAGTAGTAGTAGTAGTAGTAGTGCGCTTTCGAGCCTGTTTGACACGATACTCTTGGCAACCATTGCATCCGAGGTAGTGACGAGAAAGAGTCTTACCTTTGCTCTATAAGAAAACGCGAGCAAACGTGAAACTTATATTGTACGTACATAAACTTCATGTTATGTAATGTTAAAACATGCTTAAACATATATCAAGTTCAACAGTTTGATTTTCACTTAAGAACTGCATTTCGTCAACCTTTGCTTAATTTCTAACCTTTTGTGTTTTTATCTGTTAAAAAACAATTTTTATATAATTTGAAATCTTCAAGACACAAAGTGACAGCGTAGTAGAGTGGTTAGTGCGCTGGGCTGCTGACTAAGTCAGCCGTGGTTCAAGTCCTACCATCGGCGCCCTTTTTTTTTATTTTATTTGCGCATGTGTCATTATTGAGATACTCATGTTATTTTAGTTAAACTTTTCAAGTTTATTTACAACTAAATTGAGCAAGGAAAATTAGTAAAAAACATGTTTATATATAGAATATAAAATCTATATAACTTTTGATTTGCATTTTAAACAACAAAACCGCGTGCCAAGCTGATGAACTTGCCACGCGGCGACCATAACTTTTTTTAAAAATGGTAAGGGGGCTAAAAAAGTATATTTTTATTTAGATTTTAATTTTATATGTACACTAAATTATTTTATAAAATTTATTGTTTCTAAAAATAATTAAAAGTTAAACTATTTAATATTAGCATAATACCGATTTCTAATCTTTTGCATTTATATCCGTTAAAAACAATTTTTATATAATTTTGAATCTTTATTTCATAATGTGTCAGCGTAGTCGAGTGGTTAGCGCGCTGGGCTTCGGAACATAGCTGCCGTGGTTCGAGTCCTATCGTTGGCGACTACTGCTTTAATTTTTTTTTTAGATTTTTTTTAATACAAATTCAAATACTTATAAAGTTTTATAGATAATTGTATATAGACAACATATGTAAAGATATTAATCAAAAGTTTGATCCTCGCATTTTGACACAGAACCAACTTCGCTAACGAGAGAAAAAAATCGTTGACAAATTTCAAAATTTTGTTTTTTCGTTGCAAGAAGTGTCTCGCAAATGCCATTTATGTTAAAGTTAGTGTTTACGCAATCAATAAGTTTAATCTTCGTATCTAGGACATTAAAAGTTATTATTTAGATATTTTCATTTGATTGAGATTTTCTTGCGTTATGAACCAGATAATAGTTCTAATGAACTGTAACCACGCGGATAAAGTGTGCATCAATATCCTAAAGACCCGTATTTTACGGGTCATGACAGCTAGTATACTTAATATTTTATTTTTACAAATCAATTTTTTAGTAATTTTATACAAACTTCATGTTTAAATTTCAAGTTTGTTTTGGTATCTGTATTTACATTTCTTTACAATTTAATTAGCTAAGCCTAATTTCAAACAACAACGCAACAAACATTCTGAAGGGAAGACAAACCATATTCTGCTATAATGCACGTGTAAAGACTATGAAGTCAATCCTAATCAAGTCATTGAATGAGCATTTTAAAGGCATTGAAGAGAAACCTTTTTATATAGTGGTGACACTGGTTGATTTATAACTTCAAACTAAACTCTTCTCATTACAGGCAACATTGACAATTGAAAAAGCAAGATTGAAGTCAATCTGATCATGCTGAGCAGCAGATTGACCAAACTATAAAAAAATCCAGCAAAACAAGCTCGGCTGGATAATTCTTTTACATTATCATCATTACAATGGCAATATATATAGATAAAATTATTCAGTCTACACCCACTTGTGGCACAGCACATAAACAACAATTACCAATAGGCATTGATACTCAGCTAAGCCAATATCTGGAAGAATTAGAAATATATAGACACTCTAATTCACTACAGTGGCGGAGTGACAATATCTCGGAAAAAAAAGTTCTATAGAATTTCTCTAAATTTTTTTAATGTTTTGAAACATATGGCCTATAGAAACTCTATAGAATTTATATAAAATGTCTATTAATTTCTATAGAAATTGCTATAAAACTTTTTAACAACAAAAATGAGGTTTAACAGAAAACAACTGTCACTTCTGAATAGTCAACATTGTTGACCATTTTCAGCACCAAGTAGGGATGTTCAGGATTTTGGCTTCTGTAGTTTTGCTTCTATATCCGGCTTCGAATCTGTTAGTAGAAATCCGGCTCCGGATTTGGAAAAGTTAAATCCGGTACAGCCCATATATATATATATATATATATATATATATATATATATATATATATATATATATATATATATATATATATATATATATATATATATAATATAAATATAATTATATATATACACTATATATATATATATATTATATATATATACATATATATAATGTATATATAATGTATATATAATGTATATATATATATATATATATATACACATTATATATATATATATATATATATATATATATATATATATATATATATATATATATATATATATATATATATATATATATAATATAAATATAAATATATACATATATTCATATATATACAACCCTTGGAATTAGGGTCGGTATTCGGCAATGCTGGCCTAACTGTCAACCTGAAAGTGTTTAAGGTCGGCAAAAAATTGCCAACCTTGTTTCTATGTTTTATGGTCAGACCTTTGTATCAATAATAATTTGACATAACAGGGACTATTTAGGAAAAAAATATGGGCGGCGGTACCCCTCTGTCTCGGAGAAATTTAGCAGAAATATTGCCAAATATTCACGGTAAAAACAAAATTTGCTGTAAAAAATTTTTAAAAAAAAGGTGCTTGATTTTTAATTTGAGCGGCGCCCAAATCGACGCCCAAATAGGGTCAATGTTGTCGAAAACGGTCTATAATAGTTCCTGTATAAATATATACATTATTTATATATATATATATATATATATATATATATATATATATATATATATATATATATATATATATATATATATAAATATACATATAAATGGTTTACAGGATTTGTGGTTAGAGTTTGTTGATAAAAAGTTTCTTGAAAAGAATTTACAAACAGATTTTTCATTATGGCGTAACATAGTTTATGCTCCATACAGTTTCAACACTTCTGAAATTGTTACAGATGTCCTCATGCAAGCTGAAGGTATGTCTGTATTTTTTTTTATTAGATAAAATCAGAGATTTGGAGTCCCTATTTTTACCTTTACTCCGGTGTTTCTAAATTTAAAAATATTAAATTTTTTTTTTTTAATTTTTATTTAAACATAAGAATACACTTCATTTAGAAAATAATTGGATTCAATGTCTGTTACTTTCTAATAAGGTAGATTAGGAATTTAAATTTAGATTTACAGTTTGACAAAAGTGTTTTATAAAATCAAAAATATTAGGCACAAAAGATATGAAACAAACTGTAAGAAAGACTCTTAAATAACAGACTAACAGTAAGTCAAAAGTACATCTAATATAAAATGTATTAGAATGAACTAAAGTTCACCTCATATAATCAATATAAAAGCAGCACAAAAAATTGTATTTGCTGAAGCATATAATATGCTAAATCTTTAAATTTTTGATACGATGCTAAATGATTTATAAATATAAAAAATTAAAAGGTCTAAAGAATCTTTTAGACAAGATGCACTTAGTTGTAGTTGTTGTTGTTTTTGGTGTTGTTGCACTTAGTTGTAGTTGTAGTTATTAAATTTTTGGAACATTGCGAGGTAAATAACACAGAGTGTCTATTTGCACGTCTTTTAAGTTTGAATAGTATATATTTATTTGTAGTCTGTCTTCACATTTAATAAAATTGAAAGTGAAAACCTTCCAATTTACAATAGTTTTTCAATTGAAAAAAAATTGAAAATACTAAGGTTTTTTATTTTTGAATTTAAAAGTAATCTAGCACAGTGGAGTTTGTTGGTTATCTAGGGATAAACGCAGTGGAGTGTAAATATACTAATGAGATTTTTGGCTTGAATAGGCAATCTTTTAATTTGAAAAAAAAGTACTTTTTAAAGTTTATTTCGTCTAGTTTTATTTATTTCTTTGACAATGAAAATTTATTTATATTTAGTAATTTTAATTTATTATTTTAGAATACATATTTTTTGAAGAAAAAGAAAAAGTTTTTTGCGCAATAAAAAAGTTTTGCACAATAGAAACAATAGTAAAAGTGACTGAATCAATAATTAATGCCTTATTCACCTCAAAAAAAATATTTTTAATGATACTCATAATCATAAATTTAAGATACTCATAATCATAAATTTTGCTCTAAGATTAAATTTGAAGAATTTTATATAATTAACCTATTTTTCTAAATATAAGTTATATGTATATGGTGATTCAAAAAAGAATCTATTTTTTAGATTATTTTGTACCATTTTTTAAAGAGTTTTTAGGAAGTTTCAACAGCAAGATATTTTAACTTTTTATTTGTATATATGTTCATAAATACTTTTGATAAAAACATTTTATCTGCGTAATACTGCTTTTTTTTTGTTAGCATTTATTCTTTTTTTTTTATGTTAATTCTGAAACAAAAAATTTGTATATAAAATATTAAAAAAAAAAAGACATGCTAATTACAGATTTTCAAATTGTCTCATGGGGTTAATCATTAACCCCATGAGATAATGTTTTAATGTTGATGGGATTTTTAAGATACAGAAGTTTTTGAAGAAAGCAAGTTGACAAATGGAAAAATGGCAAGGTATGAAAATAGTTAATCAAATTCATGTGAATGGTTTATCTTTGGTATTGACTTCTGGTCGAGAAAACAAATTATTTAAAGTTTTAAAAATAAAATACCTGTTCAATGCATTTTTGAAACTTGTCTAGAAAGGAAAGAACACTATTAGAAAAACCAGCCCAAATATGACAACACTATTTCTTACAGGGACAAACAAAAGCTTTGTAGAGGTAGAGAATGGAATCACGAGTAAGAAAAAGGCAAGCAAAAGAAAAGCAATCTTATTAGATGTTAACTTTGTTAAATTGATTGAATGATTTCTATGAGAGCTCAGTAGTAAATGATAATCCAAGAAGATGTAAAAAACAGTAATCAGTTAAATGTTTCATTAATATGAGTTACCAATATTGCAATATTTGTTTGCAGTTAATTTTTTTGAAGTTAAAAATGACAAGTCACTGCAAGCCCTAATATTTAGTCATGCACTTATTAATTAGTTCAGAGAGACTTAAAAAGAGTTTTAGAAAACATTTTTGTAAGACTATGACAGGAATGTTGTCTGAACCATAAGCCAGAGAAGAGTTTAACTGAGAAATGACTGTAGCAACAGAAGTTGAAGTGATTTGGATGTTTAATAATGGGTTAACCTGTTTAACAAGAATGACAGGAAGAGTATTATTAGATTCAAGAATCGAATTAAAGAAAAAGTTCTTTGCAATTAGTTCTTATTCTTGGGAGAGTTAATAAGATCAGACGCATGAACTAGAGATGAAATGCTTGGTGATAATGACACTGCTAAAGATTTAGTAAACTGGGAATAATGGAGCCTAGCATCAGAAAGCACTCAAATATATTACCAAGCCAAGCATGTAACTTCTTGAGTCTTGGTAAATCAAAGGATAATAGCCATCAATATTGAGATTCAAAATAGAATTAGCCAAATTCAAATTGTTCTTCCTAAGAGCAATGAATGAATAATTAAATGAATGAATGAATTTTGCAGGAGATAAGATTAAACTGTTGAAAAGTCACAAATATTTGTAAAAGATTTATTAAAAAAGTGGTGGTGACAATTTTTTATTTTTATTAATTTATACAACGTAAAATACAGCTAAGTGCTAATTTTGAATTTTTTCATTAAACTATTTATGTAATATTAGCTCGGACTGTCGTCAGACAGTCTGAGTTAATATTATCTAATCAGATAGAAAAAAGACACAAATCCTAGACACAAAACATTGTTACGCAGGTGTACATCTACACCACCTTAATAGATGAAGATTTGATTGATCATTTAAAAGACCTTTAAAATTTTGAAAATTAGCAACTTATAATGAATAAATATTTATTTTACTATTTTTGTAAAGAACATGTAAAACAAATATAAACCATCAAAAAAACTTTTAGGATAGAAATCAAGAATACCAGGAACTAGGGTTGTAGAAACTCGCTTATTTATGTTAGAGAGCACTGTATAAATCTTAACCAAAAGTAAATTTTTCACTGTGATCTCCCCTCTAATCTAAAATATGATCTCCCTTATAAATAATCAGATATTGAATCAAAAAGTTCTTTGGCTGAAACCAAAGAATTTTTTGATTAAAATTTTTTTAATTTTTTTAAAACTCATTGATATAAAAATTTAATGAAAATGTCTTTTAAATATGAAATAACAATATGAAATAATATTGTTTATTAGGATATGAAAGCTTACTGGCAAATAAAAAAAGTTTGAGAAATGGAATCTGCAAGTTCTATTCTTGACATTCTATTCTTTACATTCTATTCTTTGACACTTTACGGATACTTTTTTGGTAGTTTTTGTTCTATTAGATAAAAAAAGTAGGATATGTAATAAAATAGCTAATTGCTGTGTTGTTTACAAAGTTGTCCAATTGACAATTTTCTCTAGGAGCAAAGATATATTAAAAAGCCTTCGTTTTTCTAAAGTTAAGTCTCCTAGTTTGGCTCCATTAGTTCCTAGGCTCCAATATTCATAAAGTCAAACTAGTCATGACTAGTTTTTAATATGCTTTAGTAAAAAGCTCAAATCTATGCAATAGAAATTTAATCAATGAAGACTTTACCAGAGTTTTGGAGGTTTAATATTTTCAATAAACATTTTGAAGAGTTTAGAGATTTCATGTTGTAAATAAACATTTTGAAGCAAGAGTTTAGAGATTTCATGTTGTAAATAAACATTTTGAAGCAAGAATTTAGAGATTTCATGTTGTAAATAATTGTTCTGATTGAGCAGTTAAATTAGTTCAGTTAAAAATAATTGTAAGTAAAACAGGAAAAAAAAAAGAATTATTAAAAAACTGCTAGTAAATTCTTATTTAGATAAGTTTTAACAAACATTAATACACAAAAAAATAATAATAATAAACTTTTAGTGTTGAGACTTTCCATAATTTAAACATTTTTTAAATGATAAACTATTTTAAAAATGATACAGTCTGAAAATGGCCCTTTGTATTGCCTGAAAGAAAATTTTATTGATAAATTGTTTTAGACATGGCTCTTTTGAAGCACTTTAATATATTTATATAACTTTAGCCATATATTCACTCTAATGTATAATGTAATTACATGTAAATATATGTAAATATATGTAATTTTTATCATGACTTATAAATCTTTACAATTCAAAAAATTATAATTTTTGAAGACTTTCTTTGTTGTTTTCCAGATTAGAAGTTTTAGTAATTATTATTTTTTTTAATTATTATATATTTAAAACAGTGTGTTCGAAATATTTATCAAATAATACATTATTGAAAAGTGTTTGTTAAGTTAATGTTAATGTAATAAAATTTAATAATACCTTTAGAAAAATACTGAATTATAAATATTTCTGATTTTAAGAAAAAAGGATATATCCTTAGTAAGCATTTTTGTCATTTCTGATAAAATCTAATTCTGCATTTCATATAGTTTTTTTTTTCTCCACACTTGTGCAATTAAATATATGATATTGCTTAAGTATGATATTATGGAAGAATTTTTTACTGAAAAAAATCTCCCTTTAAATCTAAAACAAGTCTTGGCTATTCAGCTAAATAGTGAAAAAATACCTATTTGTACCACAGGGTGGGTTTGATCTTCTTACTTTATTTCAAAAGAAAAACCCACCACTAACATGTAATGTAAACAGATCTCTTGAATTTTTCTGTTTTGTTTGTTTGTTAATGTTTTTTAATTGACTTTTTTAATAACTTTTAACTTTAATAGTGGAAGTCTTTTAACTTTTTTTGTTTGTTATTTTTTGATGTTATTCACATCCTCAAGACTGAGGGGGCCACTAAAGCCAAATAGTCTTTGTGAAAGTGAATTTGTGTTGAAAGTTTCAAAAAATAATAGTCTCCTGAACAGGTTTTTTGCTTTCTATTTTAATATAAGATGTAATTTTTAAACCATTTTTTAAATTGTGGTACTCCATTGTTTGGATGAAAAGTAGAAACTTTAGAACTCAAAACTCTAAAATCGATAAAAATGTTCAGTTTAAAAAAGTTATACTTTAATTCATAAAGAAATACAGTCACAAATATTTGTAAAAGATTTATTAAAACAGTGGTGGTGACTATTTTTTATTTTTATTAACTTATACAAAATAAAATACAGCTAAGTGCTAATTTTTAATTTATTCGTGTAATATTTTTGTCATTAAATTATTTATGTCGGATAGAAAAAAATTGATAAAAATGTTCTTAAAATTGATAAAATTGATAAAAATGTTCATTTAAAAAAAATGTATACTTTAATCCATAAAGAAATATCATCGTATCATAAAGAAATATCATTGTATCATAAAGAAATATCATCATATCATAAAGAAATATCATCATATCATAAAGAAATATCATCATATCATAAAGAAATATCATTGTATCATAAAGAAATATCATCATATCATAAAGAAATATCATCATATCATAAAGAAATATCATCATATCATAAAGAAATATCATCATATCATAAAGAAATATCATATCATAAAGAAATATCATCATATCATAAAGAAATATCATCATATCAAAAATGCATCAGGAATTGTAAAGGAATTTTACTATTTTTTATATTAGTAAGTTTTCATTATTAAAACTATTTAAAAAAGTAAGCTAAATTTAAGCATTACAATTTGTTTAAGTCGTTTTTGTTTAAGTTTGTAAGTACTAATAATGTTAATTGTTACTAATTGTTTTTAGTTTTTCAGCGTATAATTAAAAGATTGTTGAGAGAAACCAAACCACAGCCACCTTTACAAATAATAAAACCTTCACCTCCCATCGAAGATGTTTCCCAACACTCCCTTTTAATAGAGCCTCAACTCATGCAGATAATATATTGTGATATAGAATCAATTGTTCAACTGTCAAAGTCTGCTGCCATTCTAGTAGCCAAGCATCTAGAACTTGATTACAATTACTTAGAGTTAGTACCTGATTTATATGAAACAGTACTTAGAAAAGTGACTGTAGGAATACCTTGTGATGGTCAACGAAGAAGGAAAAGTGTAGGCTGTTTATCTCCCGCTCAATCAGTTATCCAAGTAATTATTTTAGTTTTATATTGTTTGTTTTTTTGTATTGTTTTATTTTATTTTTTTCTTATTAAAATAGTGATAACTGTAAATTTATTTTTTTTGTAATTACTTTATATTTAAAAAATATTATTAATCACTTAATACTTATATGATTTAAAGTTGTTTTATAAAATTTCAATTTTCAATGTTTATAACTTATCAAAATATTTCAATGTTTTATATAATATATCAATGTTTATAACTTATCAAAATTTTTCAGATAAGCATACTAGTAGAAAAGAGAAAGAGAAGCAACATAATAATAATGGTTAAAGGTTAGCTGCAAGGTCCAACCATGTTTATAATGTGTTTTTATGTCTTGTCTAAAAGAGAAAGGGAATGGTTCAAAGATCCAATCTAAATATGGCATCAGTAATCCATACAAGGACAAATTAGAGATATGAGAAATTTGTTATCAAAGACTCAAGAACAACAGATACTATTTTCCAGCAGGCATTAAGACTCAGTCAAGCACTTATTAAATAGTAAGGAGGGATTTGAAGAGAGTTCTGGAGAACTTTTAAAGAATAATACAGAAATGTTGTCTGGACCACAAGCTGTAGAAGAGTTTAATTGAGATATGACCTTAGCAATGGAAGCTATGATTTGAATGTCTAACAATGAGTTAACCTGCTTAATTTCAATGAAAGGAAGAAAATGTCCATATGATTTAATGATAAAAAAAAGGAATTTAAATTTGATAAGTCGAATTAGAAGAAAGGTTTTTCGCAAATAGTTCTGTCTTATCCTTAGAAGATGTAATAAGATCAGTCCCATGAATGAGAGATGGAATGTTAGATTTGCTAATGACATTGTTGAAGATTTTCTGAAAGTCTCTAGAATCTCTCTTCTGAGATAATATAGAGATTTTGGTAAGGAAAGATTCAATAATCTTAAAGATTTTACCTGATAGTAAGAAGCGACCTTACCTTATGTAAGCAATCTTATGTAGAAGACCAGTGTGCCAGATTTTATTAAAAGCTTTAGAAATGTCTAGAGCCCTAACATCTTCAAAAAATATTTTTAACAAATGTCGTTTTCCAGCAGGCTGGAAAATGAGACTGATAAGCACTAAAAGTGCTGTCCATCAAGGAATAATACGATTAGAAAGAAAGGATTCAATAATCTTAAAGATGTTACCAGATACACCGTAAGAAGAAAGCTTATGAAGAAGACCAACATGCCAAACTTTATCAAAAGCTTTAGAAATGTCAAGAGTGATGGTCTTAACCTTTCCACCTCTATCTAATGCATGATAAAACCTATTGATTACTGTTAGCAAATCAGCTGTAGAACAAGAAGATCAAAATCTATATTGATGATCAGAAAGTAAGTTATTAGATTCAAGAAGAGATATTAAGTGTTTCTTAATTAAAGATTTAAAAACTTTGCTTATGATAGGAAGAAGACTAATGGGACAGTAGAGACAAATCAGATTGCTCTCCAGAATTTTTGAAAATAGGAATAACAGGTGCTGCTTTCCAGCGGGCTGGAAAACAAGATTCTGATAAGTACTTGTTAAATAATTCGAAAAGTGTAGATTACAGGTCCAAAGTACACTTCTGCAAGACTATAACAAGTATGTTGTCCTGACACAAACTGTAGTAAAGTCTAAGCAGGAAATCAATATTAGATACAGAAGCTGGAGTGATACAAATGTCAAGCAATGGATCAACCTGGTTGTCGCCTATATCAGGTAGGATGTGATTAGTGGAATCAAAAGATGAGATTGATGAAAAGCAAAATAATCAGCAAACAGTTCAACTTTGTCTGTAGGTAAGGTAACAAAATTTATACCATGAATAAGGTATGGAATAACAGATTTGCCCTTATTATTGACACTGGTAAAGATTCTCCAAAAGTCTCAGTAACCTAATTTTTGAGATCAACTACAAGATTTTGTGACCTGAGAATAGCAGGCTTTGGCATTAAACAAAACTTTTTTACAATGGATTGTGGCAATAGTAAACAAGTACCTGTTTTCTGGAGAATTGTTTTTGTGATAGATAAGCAAGTAATGGTTACAATTGGAAATTGCAGTTGCACAATGAGACAAAACCATGGAGAAGAATGAGACTTGAATTAGAAAAGTTGAGAATGAAAGATTTCATATCAGCTTGATTCTCAGAAGCTAACTTTTTTCAGCCTGAATCCAAGAAGTTATGTAAGAAGCACATTTGTTAACAGGAATATGAAAGATTTCTACCCATGGACTATCATGAAGAAAATCATGGGAAGAGTCCCAGTCTATTTTAAGTAATAATCTTGTTTTAAGGTAGTTGTAAAAGGTATGATGATGGGGGGATTCTGATAATGAAGAAGAATGAGATAATAGTTTTAGAGAGGTCAAACTAAGTACTAACTAGGTTCAAACTTACAAAACATAAGTCAAGTAAGTATAGATTAGTAGAGAAGATAAATGGTAAATGTCGTGAGAAGTGAAAATAAATGTAGAGAAGCGTTGTGAGAAGAGAAGATAAATGTCGTGAGAAGAGAAGATAAATGTCGTGTTAGAAATTGAAAGAGGTAAAAGTTATAAAATGTAAAAGGTAAAAGAGCCTAAACCATTCAGTGTGATGAGCATAAAAGTCACCAACATCAATATTGGCTGAAGGTTAAAGAGAAAGGGAAAAAAACATTAAAAAGAGTGCAGTCTTGATATAAAGGAGAGTGATATAGAACAAAAAGAAAGGTGATAGAGTGTAGTGGTGCTAAACGAAAGCACATAAAAGAATAGTCTGTGTATTCAAACCTAGTTTTCTAAGAAATGGGGGAGTTCTTACAAATGAAAATGCCCAGGTTAAGCATGTGACTATTGGAGTCTTTACAAATTAAAAGAAGTCAACACTAAAATTACAAGATAAGACAACTCCAATTCTCACAAAGAGCAAGTAGGTCTGATAAACTTTGCAAGAGATAAGACTAAACAGAAGAAAAGTTTGAAGACCACGAGTATTAGAAGAAAATTACTTTGAAGACCACGAGCATTAGATTTGGTTTACTGATAGAATCTGTTTATGCCTTAAATTTTTGCCTCGGAGCTCTTCTACAAGACAGTAGCCGGATGCATTTAATGTTTGCCCAAGATGAGTATTTTTATTCAGACACCATCTCTAGCCTATACTTAATTATGAGCCCTGAGGCAGGAGGTGTGTTAATAAGTTAGAGTTGGCATCTCCTAGCTTTTTCCTAAAAAAGTGTATCCTTCATGGCAGCAGAACATGAAGCAAGTTGCACTGGGTTGCATGTTACTAGTAGCAGGATAACTTAACCTTACCTGACTAATAAACAGTGAGAGAAACAAAAGTAAACTGTATAAAAAAATTAAGTAATAAATCAAAGTTTTGAAAAAATCCCTAAAAGTAATCATTAGTATTTTATCACAGTATAAAAAATATGGTTTTTTTTGTTGTCAAATTTCAATTTTTTTGCCAATATACTTCAATCTTTAAAAATGTCATAACCTTTTAATGGCTTAGAACAGGTAGTCAATCATGAATGTTATTTTATTTCTGAGATAGCTTGAGGCTTGCAGTGGCTGGTGAATAATTGTTTACTCAATTATTTCAATATTATTGATATTTTTATATTAATAGCAATACTTTTATCTACTTTTTCTTGGTTTATCATTCTCTGCTTGGCTTATTATTCATTACTTGGCTTATCATTTACTACTTCTTATGGACTAAGAGATAAGCATGATAAAGAGAGGAAAAAAAGATATGTTAACCATGTATACTATCCATTGCAAAGTTTTGCTAACTTTGCAATGGATAGTATACATCGTTTAAATGGGTAGTATATATGGTTTCCGAATCAAAAATTTTATTTATCTGGTTTTTTTCCTGTAATTTTCTCTCATCTTTTCATCTCACATGTTCTTTTCATCTCACATGTTCTTTTCATCTCACATGTTCTTTTCATCTCACATCTTTTCATCTCACATGTTCTTTTCATCTCACATGTTCTTTTTGTCTCACATCTTCTTTTCACCTCACATCTTCTTTTCATCTCACATCTTCTTTTTATCTCACATCTTCTTTTCATCTCACATCTTCTTTTCATCTCACATCTTCTTTTCATTTCACATCTTCTTTTCGTCTCACATCTTCTTTTCATCTCACATCTTCTTTTCATCTTTTCATCTCACATCTTCTTTTCCATACAATTTACAATTGTGTAAGTTTTTTATCAACAACTTGTTTTTTATCTCTTTTCTTTCTTTTTCTTTATCTCTCTTCTTTGTTTTCTGTTAACTACCAACTTAATTAGTAGTTGTTTGCAACCTTGTTTGAAATAAATTTACTTAGAATCATCTAATATACTTGAATAATATTTTTTTTAAACATTTCCGTGTTGTTATATTTCAAATTCCATATATAAACAGATTATATAATTATAAATGTTTTATTTGTTCTTGTTGACTATGTGCAAAATCACATTGATAATAATTTTAGGTTTTAACAACTTTTAACTAGCAATTTTTATTGTCTCATAGTATATAAATTTAATATAAGTTTTAGATTTTAGCTAACAACTTTTATCGTCTCATAGCATATAAGTTAAAGTCAAAAGTTTAATAACTATATAAGTGAAAAATGTTATACGGTATGCATGTATATAAATATGAGTATTTACAATGTTCTTTTTTTTATTGTGATTTTTGGTATTTTAGATTTCATATTTGTTTTTATTAAGTTCAATGAATTGCTGCTGCATGAACAAATAATGCGAATTCTTCAAGACAACCGAGAAATGTGTAAAAACCTTTTACAACTATCTACATCTCAGATTGATGATAAGATTTGTAAGTCAGTTCTTCGTCTTGAATGCATTATTGAAGTACTATCAGAAAGTTTCTCAGATGAAATAAAAGAAGTTAGTAGTATTGCGATTAAACTATTCTACTTGATTGCTCAATTAGTTGATAATGATGTTAAAAAATCACCTCTTGCTATACAGTTTTTCTCTACTGCATTAGAGAATCTCGGAAAGGTAACTTTTACTCTCTTATTTTTGTTTAATAATGGTTTGTAGTTTTTTTTTTTTTTTTTTATAGAAATATTCTTTTATTTATTTTTATTTAATTAGGACTCAATTGTTTTTATTTTCAGAACTTTATTGCAAATAACCCAACTCAACAAGTTCCACTTCTTGATACTGTTTTAAAGAGACAGGAGTTAATTGTTTTTTTAGGCCATCATTTTAGTCCATTGTTAGATGTTACAAACTTCACTGTTTTATATTCAAAACTTGCAAACCATTTGGATGCTAGTTATTCAACAACAGTATTTGTTTTACTTTCAAAATTTGACATAAATGCGTGGCTAGACTGTTCTCCTCCAGATTCCGAAAAGTTAAAGATTGTTATGCTCATGATGATTGCGTTAAAAAATCTTGGTTCTCAACCAAACAGCGAAGCAACCGTTGTCTTAGAAATTGTTCGTAAACAAATATCAATTTTATTTTGTGATTTTAACAGTTATTACAGCAAAGTTCTAGTTGAGTTGTTAGAAATCTCATCAAGTAGATCTATCTCCCCAGTCTTTTGGACTGATTTTGTTGCGTTTGTTCAAGATTCTACTGCAAAAAGAGATTTATCCATTACACAAGTTAATGAATCGGTGCATTTTTTAATAAGTTATTTCCAAAATAAGACCCATGAGGTTGTTTGTAATTTAGACAGTTTATACGAAAGTTGGAGTATTTATATAGAATCCTTAAGTATACTTTTGAAAACTTTGGTTACAATGATAATAAAGTGCTCATTTGCAACAACTAGCAATAATTTAGAAAGGTTGGTTAAAGACAATTGGGTTATTTGCTGTTCATTATACCAGCCTTGGCTAGTACCCCAGTCAAAAGGGAAGATTTGGTCTCTACTACGGACAGATTTAGTAGCTATGATGATCAGCTCATTCACTGAGTGTATAAATCTTTTAACTGTTCCTGCCAAAAACGGATATTGTTCTGTCCTCAATTATTTATGGGATTTTTATTACCAGTCTATAGTGCCGGCTGTCACTGAAAAACAATCTTTAGATTTATTCCATAGTGTTTTTATTACGTTACCATGGTCAAAAATGTATCCAAGTCTTGAAGAACTGAATCAAATTTTAGAGGTATTTATTTATTTAAATTAAATATTACCACGTTTTATAAATCACATTTAAAGTAAATGAATATAGTAACTAGTTTTAATAATAATACTAGTAATATTAGTAACAATAAAAATAATAATAATGATAATAATAGTTTGGTTATTTTTTAGTCGCATATAACTTACCCGGCTGCTTTTCCATTCTTTGTTGAATTGTTTTTCAATATTGATTTGGAAAATGTAGTTTGTAACTGTTCCTTAATTGAGAGTCCTAATATTCTCGGGCAATTTCATCAAGTTTTGTTAAACATATTTGTTGTTATGGCAACTAACCAAGAATTGAAATTTAGCTGTAATAAATTAAAAGACGTTTTCTATAAGGCTAGGAGTTTATACTGGAACTTTATGGTACTTGAACAAACTGCACGGTCTTGCCAATGGTTTGCGGAGACAGCGGATTCATTTTCTGTTTTTAATCAAGAATCTTTAACCTGGAGTATGATTAACATGCTTGAATTTGTATGCGGGTATCATGACGACGGTTCACAGTTTTTGCATGACGATTACATTATTGCAAAACGCAACATTTTTGTTCAAGTTATTGTAACCCTTATTTCAAGATGTTCACTTACTGTTACACCGAAGTCGGCAAATTACAGTTTTGTTATTAATCGACTCTTTTCTTTAATTGAATCAGTTTTAGTTTATAACAGTAGTGAAAGTGCACAAATGCAGGAGCTTGTTGTCCACTGTGTAACTGCCTTTAATTTACTCAACTCTATTTCTTCTTCGGAAATATTTGCTGTTATAAAGGAAAACATACATAGTTACTTGCAAGGATCAAAAAGTCAATTACTTGTGTTAGCTTTTATATCTGCCGCTTCTCGATCAATCGCGTCTCTAGAACATTTAGTATCTATACTAGAAATGTCGATAGAATGCTTTTTTTCAAGGCTTTGCGGCGAAGAAAGTCAAAATTCTTGGGTTCAGGTTTATCAAGCCTTTGTTTTGCCTGAACTTAATAAAGAAGAATTTTTAAAAGAAGCACTGAATCAAAGTGCATATTTGACTTTATATACATTTAATCTTCATTTAATTCCACAAGCTCAATGTTTGGGAGAATACTTAATTATGCTGGCTAATACTATTCAATGGTGCAGTAAGCCATCAGCTCCAATTGATTACGAATCAAAGTTATTGTTGTTATGGTTACAAATATTCGATATTGTTAGGATATTAGATCTTCGCGATTTAAGTAAAACTCAACATCAACAACTTATTAAACATCTCAATTTCTTTAACATTTTTTGTCAATCAAAGAGCGAAGAAAAAATTTACTCCGGAATACTTGGATCATTAGGAGTTGGAAGAAAAAGTCATTTGAGTAAAGAGTACGATTGCTTTTTAAATGTTTTTTTTTTATTTATTTAATAAAGTATGTGTTAGTATTATGATATTTGTGATTTGTTTTATGTTATCAGATTTCGATTGAGTGCTAAAGCTGTTCATTTGTTCTTAATAAATAAAATGGTTCTATTTCAAAATGGTTCCGATTTAAAACAAGCTACGACCTCTCGCATTTCTCCAGATGCCGAAAAAGCACTTGCCTCGTTCTTTGGTAAGAAAATATTGTTTTTTGTTTATTGTTTAAAATTTTTGTTTTTGTTTTGTAAATTTTAGGTTGCATCTTCTATTATGCTATTATTATATTTCAAATGCTTACAATTTATAGCTTTTTTTTTTCTAAAGGTTTACTGAAGAATAAAACCTATGAAGATTTTCAAGACCAAATTCAATGGATAGTTCAATTTATTTCTAACCAGTCAACGACTATTAAAGACGGATGTTCGTTAGTTGCGTATTTATGTCAACAGTTTTTTAAAAAGTATAGCTACGTATCTGCTGCTATTACTTAGAAAAAAAGTCGAAAGTTCACAATCACATTTCATTTTTATAATCGACCAATGTATTCAAAGATAATCTTAGAATACATCAGCGCTTTGATTATGTATTTTAAGTACCAATTTGTCAATATCATACTTTAGAAACATGAAAAAAAGCGAAACAAATATTAATCTGTGATCTAAAGATTTTGTGTTTTAAATCACTCACGCGTGTTAGATAAGGTTTTTCGTATTTCGAAAATAAAGTAGGAAGTTTCACACTTTATCAGAAAAGAATAAAACTTCGTCAACTTTAACAAACTAATTAAGTAACCCTAGTTATAATGTCCTGTAAGATTTTATAAGATTTTGAAAGGAAAAGATGTCAGGTTTGACCTATTCAATTCATACACATTTAATCAAAAAATGTTATTTTTTGTTCTATTTTTTTACTAGGAATAACATGTGGCTTCATGAATGAATTTTGTTATTTTTTTTTTTTTTTTTAATGATTTTCTTTGTCAATTGAATATAAATAAAATTCGAAATTGATGTTCGAAGTTTACGCGTTAAAGTTTTTAAATAAAATTGTTTTTTAAACTAAAATTGTAGTTAAGAATTTTATTATATATGATATCTTTGTATCCTCTTTAAATAAATATATATATATATAAAATATAAAAAACTTTTTTTCTTTTCATCCCTTAAAGTTAATTAATTTAATTTGTTGTTGAAATTTATTTAATAAAATTTTTTGTTTAAAAAAAATGTTTTGTCGCGTGAGTTCGACAGTACTTAAATGATTCAGCTCTACGACTTCTATTTCTAAGTAAACTTCTAAAAAAAGTTTTGGTAAATGTATGCATGTTTAATGTGATATCTTTTTAATCTTCAATTTGTTTGATCGTCAGATTTTTAAATTATTTTTATTTCAATATTATTTACACTTTAAATTTAGTTATACTTTTTTTTTGTTTTTGTTTTTAAGTTGCTACAAGTAGCCCTTATGGTCTTTTAAATTTTATTTTAATTTTTTATCATTATTAACTTCTTTTAGTTTTCTTAGTTTTCTTTTTCTTCATAATATTTTTTAAGAGTATTTTTTGTTTTTGTTGTTATTATTTATTATTTTTATTACTACTATTTTTTTTATTATTATTATTGTAGTTGTTGTTGTAATTATATGATTGTAAATTTTGAGCAAAATAAATTTCTTGTTGTTCTTATCACAAAGTACCGCGTAAGAGCATTTAATGGTAAGTTCACGCCTCCTTTTTAAACTGTTGCAAAAGAGGTGGGTTCAAACCACAGATCTTTTTTTTCTGAGGTAAGCGCTCTACCACTGCGCCACTGCTGCTTTAGTTGGTGGAGGTGCAGTGGCGGCTGTTGAAGATGATGACGCTGTGACTTAGTAAGATGGTCTAGGTGCTGCGGAGACTGCTAAAGATTATGATGGTAGATTAAACGTTTTTATAATTGCTAATACTTTATGATTTATGTTGTTTTTATTAAGTGGAAATAAGCCAGTGTACTGAAAACCAGCGATTGCATGTTGGTTTTCAGTACAAAGACTTAAAATGTAAAAATTTTGTTCATCTAAATTTTTACATTTTAAGTCTTTGTAATACTTTGTAGGAATTTCTCTTAGAGACTCAGTGAGAGGGTTGCCATTTAATTATTATAGTATTGTTGACAGTAGCACAATAGTTGTTTGCAGTAAATAACTAAGTTTTGGAATAAAAATTCACAAGCCACTTGTGGGGAGAAATTTTTAAGTTTTACAAAGACTCAAAATGTAAAAATTTAGATAAACAAAATTTTCCACCGTTGCTCAAACTACTGTACGAGAGTGGTATATGTTTTACAAGTATGCATGCAATCACTGGTTTTCAGTACACTGGCTTATTTCCACTTAATAAAAACAACATAAAGCATTAGCAATTACACAAACGTTTAATCTACCATCATAATCTTTAGCAGCCTCCGCAGCACCTATACTATCTTGCCCAGTCACAGCGTCATCATTTTCAACAGCCGCCGCAGCACCTACTCCAACTACACAACGATTACAATCTTGACCAACTACGCCCGCTTCGAGTTTTGATAGGCATCAAGTTGAGCGTTGCAAAAACAGTATTGAGATAGATTGGCAGCAATTTTTTAAGGTGGTTGATCCCCATTCTAGTTATTTTTTTTTTTAAATGTACTTTAAAAAGTTTTTTACTATTTAAATAACTTTTTTGGTATTGAAAAAACTATTAAAAAAATTTAAAATAATAAAACAAATTAATATGACATTAATAATTGGGGCAAAAAAGCAAAAAAAAGGACCCTACGATGGTACAAAGATAACTCTATATTGCATGGTCCGAATGGTATCAAATTTTGCAAGAAGCATTTTTACATGTGTGTTAACAAAATGTACCAAAATAGTGAAGAAAAATTTTATTTAAAATTTTATGGTATTTTGCTTAAAGTGTATCAATTTTATGATAAAAAATAGACCTAACTATCAATAAATGTCTTTTCATTTGCAGATTTAGGCTGATTTTTGTATATTTTGTTGATACTAGTTTATTAAACATATTGTGAAAAATTCAAGTCAATTGGAATAGTAGAACTTGAGATATCTTTGTACCAAGTATAAAAATGTAGATTCAGAGAAAAAGATCGTTTAAAAGTTTGTATAAAAATAAAAGTAACTTTGCGTAAAACAAAACTATTAAGCTCCAGGTGCGCTACGTAATGTAAACAAGAAGTATTTAAGCAGTTAGAAAGATAAGAAGACACAATAAGATATCTAAGGAAGAGAAGAGAAGCTTGAATAGCAGAAAATTTTTTTTTTTTGTAAATAAATTTTTACAAAAAAGTTTGATTTTTTTTTTTATATTAACACGAAAATGGCTAAATTGAGTGTTTTACAATAAAAATAATTATTTCAGAAGTAAATTTCAAGTTCATTAATAAATTTTTCATAAGGACCAATAAAAAAAAATTTTTTGAACATCAAAAAAAAGGGATCTACCACCTTAAGCCAGAAATCAATTGCATGTTAAGAAATCGAAACATTGCAGCATGTATATATATAAATTACACATATATATATATATATATATATATATATATATATATATATATATATATATATATATATATATATATATATATATATATATATATATATAATTATCTGTTTATTTATAATTATTTAAAATGCAACTCTAACCCTTCTACTTTGATTTGATAATATTCATTTGTTTTTTATAATATTTCTTTTTGCACGTAAGCTATCCAATTTTTTGATAATTTTGTTTGAAGATTAAAGATTAAAATAAAAATGTACGTACCTTATGGACGACCCCTTAATCAATCATTGACATTGTTTAGAAGTATTATTTCAAAGTAACTTATCATACTCTACAAAGAACCACATGACATATTACATAAAGAAATTGGTTCAAAAATAAGCAGAGATTTTTTAAAAGTAAACAAAAACAATTTTAAAAACTATATATATATATTGAGTATTTAAAATTGTTTTTGTTTATTTTTAAAAATAAGCTGAGATTTTTTGAAAGTAAACTCAAGAGTAAATTTTAAAATACAAAAATCTCAAGTTGCGTATCTATTATTTAACAATCAAAATTTTTTCTTTTATATGGTTATGGCGACAAGATCATTTGGATCTTCTTTCAGATACCAAGTTTATATATTGTTATATTGTTATATTACGATTAATAATTGTAAACTGAAAAAATATATATATATATATATATATATATATATATTTTTTTTTTTTCAGTTTACAATTATTAATCGTAATATAACAATATAACAATATATAAACTTGGTATCTGAAAGAAGATCCAAATGATCTTGTCGCCAGAACCATATAAAAGATATAATACGTGTATATATAATAAAATAAAATATAATTGATCAAATAACTAATAACAATGTAGAAGAAACAAAAACTGAAAATAATTTTACAAATTATCCAGAGTAAAAAAAAAGAATTTTACATTTCAAAAATATTTATATATATTGCCAGTAGAAGGAATATAGTTTTTTAATTTAGTTTTAAAAACGGAAAACGAAATCGACAAATCAAAATTTGGAACAACAATTTTGTTCCATAAATACGGTGCTCTATAGTTTATGCAAAATTGATTAAACTTTGTTTGACAAAAGGGTTCAATAATTAATTTATTATTTCGTAAAGCATATTTGTTTATAGCTTTATAAGTAAAAAGATCTTTGAAATTGGACAATGGTCGTTCACTTTTACAACGAAACATAAAACATAAAATATTATAGACATTGAGTTCGTAAACGTTAAGTGCTTTAACGTTTTCAAATAAAATATTTGAATGAGAAAAACGATTTTCGAAACATATTAAACGCATTGCGTGTTTCTGACGATGGTAAAGACTAAAATATATATATATATATATATATATATATATATATATATATATATATATATATATATATATATATATATATATATATATAATTGTTAAATAATAGATACGCAACTTGAGATATTTTAAAGTTTACACTTGAGTTTTTAAAATTTTTTTTGTTTACTTTCAAAAAATCTCAGCTTATTTTTGATCTTATTATTTTGTGTAATATGTTATGTGGTTCTTTGTAGAGTATAATAAGTTACTTTGAAACAATACTTCTAAACAATGCCAATGATTGATTAAGGGGTCGTCCATAAGGTACGTACATTTTTATTTTGATCTTTCCCCCTCCCACCCACCCCTTCTTTCCCGCCTGCATTTTGCTATACACTTTTTTGGGCACCCTCCACCTCCCTAAAAGTACCCACCCTTTTAACCTACCTAGTCAAAATTTTATGATATTTTTTTAAATTTAGTGTCTCCTTACTTTCATAATTGATCCCTCGCCCCATTTGAGCGTGCGTACTTTGTAAACAATTCCTGTTAAGTGTGTTAAGTCACATGATTTTTTTTTTTAACATTTTTAATTAGTTAAAAAATTTTAAAAATAGATTTAAACATGTTCGAAATAAAATTAGGAAAATATTTTTTTGAGATTATTGATATTACTTTTGTTTTTATCTTTTTTATTATTTCTCTTATGTTCAAAATTTGT